CACAGCATGAGCAGCAGCTGCCGGGTGAGTTTCAGCTTCTTTCACCTTCATCACTGTTTGTTTGAAAATGGAAAAGTCTGGAAATGTCATGAGAGCTGTATAAAACGAAATGTTTGTTTAAGTCTGTCTGCGCCCAAACAGCAGGCAGTTAAACACACATGGTCCCAGAGGAACGGGTGTGGGGGGGGGAGGAACCTTCAGCAGATCCGCTTCCTGATGAGGAACATCTAATATTTGTTCAGCTCCAATTGGCTGCATCATCTCACTGAACGGCCGAGAAGCAGAGGTGTCCGACGCATTCATGTTTATTCCTGCTGTTTAAAAACACTTAGAGGATCAACTGCAGCTTTTTACTCCAGGAAAAGTGTAAAAGTAACATTTTTAAAACTACTTCAAGTATAAAAGTAAAAGTAATGCAGGAAAAACTGTTAAGGCCAGAAGCTTTACTGCTCTACTCTATTAAAGGAACATTTTCTACATTTCTGGATGTTAACTTCCTTAGATTTTCTTTTCTTAGTTTTATAACTAATGGTAACAGAGTCAAATTTAACTTTGCATCATCTGGAAAAACTATTTATTTGGTTTGTGGTGAGCAACAAGTTGGGGCAGCACCGAGTCCAACCACAAAGAAATTAATTGTCTGGATGAAACTAATTATTTTGATGGTTTTTATTGTTTTTGAACACCAACAGAATGAAAATGAGCTTAAAGGAAACAAAACTAACGAGTCTATTTTTAAAATATAAGGAGAAGAAATAAAAAGTTATCCAGAAAATAATTAATCCAGTAAAGTAGAGATGGCCGACATTTCTACTTTAGTAATAAAGTATTTGTAGTTTCTTACGTGACACCTGTGCCCAGGTGTTCCATGCAGCTGATTTTGGAAAGATGACATCTAATTTATTTATTAAAGGTAACATCTGGCCTGATGCTGAAGCTTTCTGAAGGATGAATGTTTGTTTCAGTCTGCAGCTGATCAGGGCCGCTCTAAACCACAAGCTAGTACCGAGGGCCCCAGGCCAGCAGGGGGCCCAAACACGGCTGGACATACATTTTTTTTTTTTTTTTTTTTGGGGAAAAACTTGAAAAATATGAGTGAAATTTATTCCTTTATTTTTAGGGCAATTGTTAATGAAACAAACCGTTTCGAATAAGAAAAAAAAAAAATGCAATCCAAAAAATGAACCAAAAAAAAAAAAGTTCTTGAAAGTAAATCTGCTGATAAGTTATTTTTTTGTGTTTATTTTTCTTCAAATTTGTGCGTTTCAGGTTGAGTTTTCCAACTTGCATTTTTTTCAAATTGTGTTTCACATGTCAGATGCTGAGTTCAAGTCCAGCGTCTTCTGAAGGCCTATGATGTCACAGCGCGGCGCCGAGTTTTGTTCGGATCGGAAGACTCCTCGTTATGCAGCCGACAAATGCGTCCTTCTTTTTAACCCGTTTTGAAGGACAGGTCAGATGTAGCCTTGGATATCCCAGGATTCATTGCGAGACGATGCTGAAGCTTTCTGAAGGATGAATGTTTGTTTCAGTCTGCAGCTGATCAGGGCCGCTCTAAACCACAAGCTAGTACCGAGGGCCCCAGGCCAGCAGGGGGCCCAAACACGGCTGGACATACATTTTTTTTTTTTTTTTTTTTGGGGAAAAACTTGAAAAATATGAGTGAAATTTATTCCTTTATTTTTAGGGCAATTGTTAATGAAATAAAACGTTTTGTATAAGAAAAAAAAATGCAATCCAAAAAATGAACCATTTAAAAAAAAAGTTCTTGAAAGTAAATCTCCTAATTAGTTATTTTTTTGTGTTTTTTTTTCCTTCAAATTTGTGCGTTTCAGGTTGAGTTTTCCAACTTGCACACGTCAGATGCTGAGTTCAAGTCCAGCGTCTTCTGAAGGCCTATGATGTCACAGCGCGGCGCCGAGTTTTGTTCGGATCGGAAGACTCCTTATTATGCAGCCGACAAATGCGTCCTCCTTTTTTACTCGTTTTGAAGGACAGGTCCGATGTATCCTCCGTAGCCTTGGGTATCCCAGGATTCATTGTGAGACCAAGTAAGCCATGTGTCTTGAAGTGGAGCTATAGAAATAAACTAAATAGAATGGAATAGAGTGTTAGATCTCTAGTGTGCAGTTTCCTACACGTCAGGTTGGAGGAAGTGGGGAAAAAATCTCTTTTTTGTCTTACATGTAATCATTAAACTTCACCTTGAATGCACCATTTTCTCAAAATGTCACACGGTGGTGGCAGTATTATGCTGTGGGGATGCTTTTCTTCAGTGGTGACAGAAAACATGGCGGGTTGTGAGTCTGCGGTTAGAGGCTGATCTATCAAACTACATGCCGTACATTCAGCTGAACCTGATGAACGGGTGCAGACGCATCAGGACGGTTTTAATTAGCGCGCGGCGACGTGTTCAGAACCGGTTTTTAATTCCTTTCAGGTATTTTTTCTACTTAAAACTTTTTTTCCCTCATCCAACCTGTTCAGTTGTGCTTTGGGCTCTCAGGGAGCAGCCGGTGTTATCTGAGTGTGTGAGCGGAGCTCTGATGAAGGGGATGTCCGTACAGGTTGGTGCGACGGATTGAGTCAGGTTTGTTTTCAGAGCATTGCTGCAGCCGCTGCTATCCTGCTGTAGATCTTTCTAAATGCCTGCCAGTCGGTGGCGGATGTACGGCTGCCTCCTGGAGTGGCAGGATGTGTTTATCACGCAAACAAAATTAGCATGTGTTAGGATAAACCTTACGGTTAATGTGTGAGTCTGTAATACGCTCGTTATACCTGCCTGCTGTGTGCACTGCAAAAAATCAACATCTAGATAAGTCATTTTTTCTTAAAATAAGTGCATTTGTTCTTGAATTGAGGAGGTAAAAATTAACACATAAAATAAGACAATTTACACATAAAATAAGAAAACACAATTACATTGTCTAATTTAAAGTGAGTATTATCTAATTATCTTATTTTAAGAGTAAAAATACTGATTCCATTGGCAAACTATCTCATTTACCTGCTCAAATCAAGGGTAAATACATTTAATTTAAGAAATGTTTACTTAGTTCTAGATCGTTTTTTAAGTGTGTCAGCACTGGAAAAAAATCAACATCTAGATAAGTAATTTTTTCTTCAAATAAGTGCATTTGTTCTTGAATCGAGGAGGTAAAAATAAAATTTTGCCAAGAACAAGACAATTTACATTTAAATTAAGAAAATACGATTGTGTGGTCTTATTTCAAGTGCATTTTATGTAATTATCTTGGCCATTGGCCAATGGCAAAGAATTATAATAATTGCAAAGAATAATAATAATAATAATATAATAGAATCTGAAATGATTCCATCCTGTTCAATAAATGATCAGTGTTTTTAATTCAGAGTAATTTCCATGTGAATGTGCTTTACTGGAGGCATCCATGTTTGTCAAAGAACACTACTGCCACCTACTGGTTAGTGACGTCACGGTGCGGTATCGGCTGTTGATCAAGTCCCAGTGCTGTATCTGGTGTTTGTCACAACGCGCTATTATCCAAGTCATCTTGAAAACATTCTTCTTCCAAATGTTGGCTACATATTACGGGTTTTTTCTCTGGCCAGAAGTTCGATGGCAAATCCTCCCTCTTCAAGTTGGCGATCCAACGACCAACCCGTCCGTGGAGGATCAGGAATCAGAAAGGTTCTTGGCTGGTCCCCTACAATTATATTCTGTTATGATTTGTGGACAGTAAGATCTAAAGAGCGCCATCTCCTGGTCAGACACTGTAATTCAGAAAAAGGGAGGAGCCACAGTGAAAACTATTCACGCCCAGATGAAGGCCAGTGGCTGGAAGATGGAGAGGATTTTGCTGCCATTCGGTGGGGTTTGACTGGGAAGGGCCATTTTGAATGTCTGCTACGGTGTCATGATAGGTTTAAGGTTTCTAACCCACATGCAGAACACACAGACTCAGGGAAAGTTCAACAGTTTATTGAACAAGGCACAATAATAAATGTACAGATCCAGGATTCGTCACGACTGGGTTTACTGCAGAGAGGTTTGAGAGAGTGCTTAGCTAGTTTGCAAGATGAGTGAGTGCAGGTTTGTACCTGATCTGAAGTTTGAGCAGAGCAGCAGAGAGGGGGAACCAGGAGGGTCCAGAGGCTGTCGGCAGGCAGAGGGCTTGGTGGAGGCAGAGCTTGGCTAGAGAGTTTACAGGGACAGGTTTGAGTTTCTCTTACAGATTCTTCTGAGAGCGGGCAGGCAGGTCTTTGGCAGCTTTGATTCTCCAGAGTTCTTCAGAGATCAGACTGACAGATTTCCAACAGAGAAACTCTTCCAGATTTTCAGGTTTCAGGCAGGTTTAACCTGGGAAGCAGAGAGGACAAAAACTGATTAGGTTCAGGGTCAGGTTTTCTGAAAGTCAGAGATTCAGACAGGCAGGTTGGCTCAGGCTTGCTAACCATAACTGGCAAAACACTCTGGCGTCGGAGTGTAGCTCTCCGCCTCCATATGTACTGGTCTCCTGATGAGCAAACGAGCCGCAGGTGGTGAAGTCAGCTCCAGCTCCAGGAGACCTAGAACGCCCTCTGGTGGAGAAAGGTGGACAGGCCCTTCAGATCCCAACATACTGTAGGAAATGTTATTTAAGGAGTTAGTCCTAAATTATCACTTTACAAGAGAAAGAAGCAGAAAGATTTAGGGTGGAAAAACAGAGCTTTCTTTAACACACGGTGAAACGGAAAAGGTTACCATTTTTTCAAAGTGATGCGTTGCATACGGAGCTGGTGAGAAAAGAAAAGGTCACATGATTTTAAAGGAGTGTCAAACTGATTATAACAATGATAAAGAGGTTCAGATTGAAACTAAAATTGTTGCAGCTTCCTTAAGAGCCTAACCCCCAGCGCTGGGCTTAACGTTTCAGGATGTGACCCTGCAGCACCCAGCAGGCTGAGCCACAGAGGAGGACTGTGCAGCCTTGTCCACACAGTTACACATAAGAGCGTCAGTGTGCTGAACACACCCCACCTCCTGCTCTCTGAACACAGTTTTATCTTATCTCCTTTTATTGGACAGTAAATTAGCACACGGCAGCTTTCTGCACTTTAAGGCTCTTAAAAGGAGGCATGATCTATGGAGACTGGATCTGTCAGGCTTTCTGCAGGAGGGATGACACTGAGTAGCAGGGCTGATAATTGAAGGGTGTCGGTAAATTCACCGTGGAGCTCCTCCCACCGACAGCAGAGCACCGCTGGAGGCCAGCTGTATCTTGGAGGGACGTTCCTGCTCAGGTCTTGCGTGTCTCTTTCTTCTCTTTGGTCGGGGGCAGCTCTACATCAGGGGTCATGAGGTGACGAAAGGAAGGAGGAAGTTCCGTTAAAACTGCTGAGAAGTTTCAGTCAGGAAATATGAAGCAGATGGTTGAAGAATGTGTGTCTTCACATCTCCAGGATGCAGCAGAAATGAAACTGGTAATGTGTTTTATAACTTCACCGTAATCTAAGGGCCACATTAAAAAAAAATAAAAGAAGGTGTTTGTGTTGTTGCAGAACGTTTGCTGCTACTGTTGCTTCCTAACACGTGCTTCTGGGTCTCAAATTTGAGGAACTTTCGTTTTAAAGGTGCAACAGTTGTGGTGATGAAGGTATAACTTGGGATTATTTTGCTCAATGAAGATCAATGCAGTACAGATTAGGCAGGGGCGGTTCTAGGATCAGAGGTTTGGGGGGCTGAGCACCCCCACTGGACAAAATCTAAATCTAGATAAGTCTTTTTTTTTTTAAAATAGGTGCATTTGTTCTTGGATTGAGGAAGTAAAAGAGACATTTTACCAATGGAACAAGACAATTTACGCTTAAAATAAGAAAACACAATTGCATTGTCATATTTCAAGTGCATATTATCTAAATATCTTATTTTAAGAGTAAAAATACCAATTACATTGGCAAACTCTCTCATTTATCCAAGTACATCCCGCTGCAGCCTGCGGGAAGGGCAGCCATATTGGAAATGCTGACCGCCCTTGCCTATAGGCGCTGGCGAGAGAAATGGCCAAAAAAATGTGTTATGTCACATGGTACGTCTGTCCTTTTTATTTTTAAATCTTTATTAAATCTTATTTTCAGATGTTAAAATAACATTAGTAACAAACAGTCTAAAATAAACACTATTAAGGAATTATTATGAAGATGTATTTATCGATCCTCAAACTCTATCACAAACAAATGTCATAAAACGTAAATTAAATTGGTAGTACCAATTGCAATCGATTAATAAACTGTGCTCCAAAGACCTTAAATATCCCATTTTTGCAAAACCAAAAGGGATTAATTTAAAACTTTAAATGTAACTTCAATCTGGAAAGACTCACACAGCGAAAGAAGGTTTTAGAAAGTTTATTTGATAAATAATCTTCGGCAGCATGTGCTTCCCCATAGACATGAGTAGACCCCGCATTGGCTGTCGCGGCGCAGGAATTACGGCCGCCATATTGGGACTGTCGACCTGCTACTCAAGCCTGCTGATTCAAGCTGAACACGCTAATGATGCCTCAGCACTGTGTGGCGTATTTTTGTTTAAATTGACGGACTATTGACGTCAGGGCTCGAGGGATAACTTTTCACAGTTAAGATGAAAACATATCTTTACATCTTTATATATATCTTCATATATGTCTTTGTGCGTCCCTCTCCTGTTACGTCAGCATTTCCAATATGGCTGTCCTTGATGTGGGCGGGGCTTGATGTCAAGCCTTCCCGCAGGCTGCAGCGGGATGCGTCTCCATTTACCTGCTCAAATAACAACTTGATTCCCTCAACATTTTGGTTTAGGAGCTCCATCTTGCTGGTTTAACTGTGTTTTTTTTATTTGTTTGTTTAAACTTAAAATTTCTGTTGAACCAAAATTTAACATTAATGGCACGATTTCCATTGACTTTATACTATTTCACTGGCAGCTGATTTTTTTTCCATCTTTAATAGGAGAGTATGTATACCTTTTATATAATATATTTTTGTATCCAAGTACTGTATAGTTTTTAGACTTTTCTATATTTAGCATGTTTGACTTTTATTCAATTTAAAAAGGGCATACAAAATAATAAAAAAAAACGACCATTTTTTTTATTTTAACAACCATTTTTTAAGGGTGCTTTAGCTCTAAAAATCTCCTATGAGATTAGACATGAGTTGAAGATAAAATACACATGCAGCCTTCTACTAGCCCGATTTGAAGGACGGGTCCGCTGTTTCCTCTGTAGCCTTGGTTTACCCAGGATTCATTGCAAGTCCAAGCAAGCCAGCTGCTCCGTTATCAGAGGAAAAAGAGAAATGGCGCCAAACAGTGGTGAATATTGGAAGTTCAGTTTAATAGAATCCAAATCTGTGAATAGTTTCGTCTGAAATGAATGAAAATAGTTGTTTTAATGGTTATAGACTCAGATATGTGGCGGTAATGTTTGATTTATTAAAAGGTTTTATCTGTTAATTTGGGTTTGGCTGTAATTTAAGCTCAGATTCTATTATCTCTGCAGTGTTTGGACTATAAATCTGATATCTGAGACGACCGTACTGCTGCTGAAGCTCCTCAGAAATTTTATAAGCACAACAGTAGTGAGAGTTCGGCATCCATTCTTTGCCTGTTTTGTGTTGCCGAGCAACTGTCACGGTTGCGAGGCAACAGAGTGTACGGGCAGCGAAAGCCGGATAAGGCTGGACCTGTTTGAATCCACAGCCAAACTCTCCCACCCTCATTTTCACGGACCTCCAAGGATCCAGTCCAGGTAGACGTAGTCCTTGGAAGACGCAGCTGCTGAAATCTAAAGCACCCACAATCTTATCACTTAAAGTCCAATACACTCGCTCCTAACCAATAAAATGTTGTTGCTACATCCAGCAGACCAATAGAAATGCATCTTTGCTTCTGTAAAATCTGTAACAAAATCAAAAAGTCACGCACCTCCAAGAAACCAGTCCAGGAAGACCGGGTCCTTGGAGGACGCAGACGCTGACATCGAAAGCACCCAGTATCAGAGTTAAAGCCAGTCGACTCTGATGGCCATGAAGAGTTTGGGAATATTGTCCCGTTCACTGATGATCAGATTCATCTTCCTTAAAGACAGCAGGAGTTTCTCCCTCATCTTTTCCTGATGTTAGATTGAATCAATATTTTCCTCCACGTACTATCGATTATCAGTGTCAAAGGAAAGAACAAGGCCCCTAAGCATTACCGAGCCATGACCATGCTTTGTCACGAACAGAGGACCGAGGATTCAGCCAAGACCGACAGTGGGATTACTCAAAAGGCTTTTATTATAAAACTGTGGAAGATTGGAGTAGAAGCAGCTTCTGAGGTAGGAAACACTAGAGAGAGAAAACACCGGTTATTAACCACGTAAATCTAATGGAGGAAGATTATGAACGCGAGTCACTAACCTGGTTAACAAGTTCGGTCCATAGCCAGAGAATGAGGTAGGATTCAGACGGAGGGCAGCCAATAAGACGCAGCGGTGGCCGCCCAGAGCGTTCTAGATGCTGCAGCACCGGAGAACATGCAGGAGTCCGAAGCCAGGTCAGGCAAACAGATCAGAACAGGAACAGGCAGGCTCAGAGGTCCAGAGGCCCGAAGCCAAGTCAGACAAACCATTCAGTTAGGAAGAGGCAGGCTCAGAGGTTGAGAGGCAGAACAGGTCAGGATCAGGTGATCAGAAACAACAATCATCTGGCCCTGATGACTGAATGCAAGCACCTTAAATAGAAGCAGGAGCAAGTGGATCAGATGAGAGGTAATGAACAACTGGGCAGAATTGGACAGGTGAAAGAAATGAGCCATTAAGGAACTCATCAGCCAAGATCATGACATGCTTTCTCTGAAATCTGTTTCATTTTTCTTTTGCTTTTTTTGTGTCATTCGTGTCGTACAACTCTGGTTTGACACTTCCCTCTTCAGAGTGTATCTTCCTCAGTGTGAAAATGTAAACCTTGGAGTGCAGCTTAAAGAGGGATCTGGTGGAAGTGGTTATCAGCTTTTACTTTATCCTCTTTGTCTTCTTAGGAAAACCGCTGCCAACTTTACCTGTATGAACATGCAGTGGCTCGCAGGCAGCTATTTTGTTCTTTTCCTTGTTTGGACAAGGAACTGAGCTCTTCTTTAAGCCCATTGGACTGTTATATTTACTTAGCTATAATTCTGGCCTGCAGCGAAATGTTTGTATCAACAATGCAGGTATTTGAGATCTCAAGCGAAACGGATGCAAAGAAAGTGAAGCCTTTGATTGAGTCACGTGTCTGGGAGCGAGCCTTTCTGCATATGTGCTCTACTAGGATTCAATTCTGTCAGGAGATTGAATCATTTTGGCACTGCAGTAATCTGTGTTAAATACTGATTAGGTATTAAAGGTTGTAGCTACAAGTTTCTCATCAAAACAAGGGCCGTTTCTTAATGCAAAAGAACACCAGTACAGAAGTCTCTTCTTGAGAAGAACCCAGGAAAGTCTGGACTCGGGGAGAACGGGAGCACGCAGAATAAATCTGGGTCAGCTGGAACAGCAGCGTACTGATGACATCACCACATTCAAAGCTAGTCTGTTATTAATAGTCTCTAGATAATAATAAATTCTGACTTTTTTCTTTTAGTGGAGGAATAATGATGAACACAGTCAGATAAACACAAATCAAATGAACATTTTGCCAAATAAAACAATCAAACCTCCATCAGAGCCAGCGGTCCTTCACACACGGCTATGCAGAGAGACGGCTGCTGCAGACGGGCTAACGTTAGCCCTCGCTGGAGGTTTCTTCCTGTTGAAAGGGAGTTTTTCCTCTCCACTGTCGTTACAAGCATGCTTAGTGTGAGGGATTGCTGAAGAGTCAATGAGTCGATGCAATCAGCTGGTTTTCCTTAGATAGAAAACTTTGAATCAATCTGACTGGATGATCTGGTGAACTGGAAAGTGACCTGAGATGACATGATGGGAATTGGAGCTATAGAAATAAAACGAATAGAATCGAATAGATTGCTTCAGGATAAAGGTGCTGATTTTATGGAAGAAAAAAAAGGCTAAAACTTTTACTTTATAAATTTTGATGGGTGCAAAATATATAATTATATATTATTACTCTGGTTATAATGATAACATCAACACGAAACAAATCTTTCATTTAATCAAAATGTTTTTCCGTTTCTGGAATATGTTTTTTTTTTTAATCTCCTTTTAAAAAAATTTGTTATTTGCGATTAACAATAATGGAACAAAATTTACTCCACAGTTTTCATTGGGGAGGTTAAATATTTGATTTGGTTGGGTTAGCATTAGCAGTAGCATTAGTGGACTTGGCAAACAGTGCTGAACAAGACAAACTAGGCTGAGTTAATCTCGCAGCCACGCCTCTATTTAAAGAGGCACTATTAGGCGTTATTTTCTAATCATACTGCCACCTGTGGACAAATTGCAGAACTGCAACTCTCATCTGCTTCGTCTCATAGCTCATATTTGACATCTTTTTTTTTGTATTTCACATTATGTGGATTTGCCATTGGTGTCTGAGTTGAGCTGGATGCCAGTCGCTCCTGATGCCAGTCAGACTGACTCCCAACTTCCACTCTGCACCATAGGCTACAGGCTTATAGAAGCATTGGCGCTGAACTACTGAGGTGTCAGTCTGCTTTTCAAACGAGATTTTAGACATAAATGCTCAAATAAAATGTTTATTTAAAGATATTTGTAGGTATAAACGAACATAATGTCTCCTTAAACAATAAAGCCTCTTTCCCACTGAAAATAGCAGGTAATCCCGTGTTTTTCTTAAACATGTTTCAACCTGCTTACAATCAGCATTTGGCTTCTTTCCCAATGACTAATAAAGCCAATCTAACCCCCCACTGGCAGCTGTGTGGTATCTGTCCCCCCGCCGCTGTGTGTCTGGTGACACCATCATGTTGGGTTCGCATTGATGATGTCACCAGTGCAACATATATCAGGGACATAAACAATGGAGAGCAACATGGAAGGAAGCCAGGGCGTTGTCAGTGAGTTTTATTGTTTCTCTCTATTATCAGTTTGAATCCCTCTCACCAGACCTGCTCCATGTTTATCGAATGTAAACAGAGTTGTTTCTGCTTGTTAGATCAGAAGCGTCTGGCGTGGTGTGTTGACGTCAGTAAGTTGCGTTCAATGGTTTCATGTAATTTAGTGGGTCAACCCGGCTCTGATGTTCCCACAGCATGCCGATCAGAGCGGAGGATATTTTAACGTGGGTCGCTTGCTGAGTCATTTGACCCTCGTAGACACGTGAGTCATGATCTTGGCACTGGTGGCTGGCTTAATTGCTCATTCTATTCACCTGTCTTACTCCACCCGGTTGCTCGTTACCGCTCATCTGATACACCTGTTTCCAGCTCCTATTTATGCTGCCTGTTTTCCAGCCATCAGTGTCAGATTTTTCGAGCCCAGTGTTAGAAATATCTACCGTACCCAGTATTGTTGTTTGACTACCCAATCCTGACCCGTTTTAGCTCCTGGATTCCTGAGTTCTGGTCTGCCCCTGTTCGGGCTGTTTCTGCCTGTCTCCTGTTTTGTTGCTGTTTGGACTCTGACTGTTAACGACTTTGATCTGTCCCGTGACCCCGGCTTGGATTACACCCTTGGTATCAGTGCATCTCTCTGATCTTCTGGTCTGGACCCCGCCTTCGTTACCTGCCCTGGGTTCTGCCTCTGGACCCTCCTGCTCTTCAGCCTCTGCTGCTGCTCTGCTCCCCTCCTGGAACTCTCTGTGCGGCTCCTGCCGCATCCAACTGGCTCCCACTCCTTCCTCTGGACACGGACTGAACTTCTAACCAGATTATTGATTCACATGCTCGTTATAGTTCCCCGTCTGAGCCTAGTGATCACTAACCTGAGTGTCTGTCTCTACAGAGAATCCAGCAATGCCTCACAAAATCCAAAACTTTCAATAGAGTGCTTTTCCTTTAAACTAACCTGTTCTCTCTAACTGAATTCTGGGTCAAATTGTTTGAACGCATCAGCAAGCTGTTCCCATTGCCACTAAAAGCCCATTGTTCCCGGGTATAAACGGGTTTTTAGCCAGTGGGAAAGGTCTATAATTGTGCAAATTGTTTTGTTTATAGCAATATGTATGTGGGGGTCTGAGCGGCTCCCGCAGAGAAATAATCTTTGAAGGCAGGATGGTGATCTGGATGAACTGACTGCAAAGCTTTTTTGATGCTCAAATCACGAGCAATGTCAACGTAGCTTTAAAGGTATATCAGGACATCATCAGTGTAACATTAAAGCTCTAAAGTTCTACTGAAGATAAATAAGGTAGATATTATGAGACTCATTGCAATGACCATTTTCCACTACATGAACAAAATACAGTAATAAATAGAAGCAGCTCTAGTGTTGAGGATAGCTTAAAGGAAAAGTCCGGTCAGCAGGAATAATCAATGGATCATTATTTATACCCAAAACTAATACGTTTAATGAATTTAGTGTTAATCAGTAAAGAAAAAAAGAATAATAACGATCACTGAGTCTGTGAGCGGCCATCTTTGCCCAAATATAGTAGCCCCTCCCACCTGCCATCTTCCAGCAGGGACGTCACGGTGCGGTAAGCCTAGCGCCATTCTCCCCGCTTTCCAAGCTAAATCAATGGGAACTACTAGACACATCTGCAATCAACAACAATTATTGAAGATTTCCAGAGGACTTCACCATTGAAATTCACCAGAGCTATAGTGAAACTGACAATGCCCACGTGCATGGCAGCTGGATGCTGGAATACATCGGGTAAAAGTGAAAAAAAGAGTTATTCCACCTTTCTGATTCCTGATCCTCCACGGACGGGTTGGTCGTTGGATCGCCAACTTGAAGAGGGAGGATTTGCCATCGAACTTCTGGCCAGAGAAAAAACCCGTAATATGTAGCCAACATTTGGAAGAAGAATGTTTTCAAGATGACTTGGATAATAGCGCGTTGTGACAAACACCAGATACAGCACTGGGACTTGATCAACAGCCGATACCGCACCGTGACGTCACTAACCAGTAGGTGGCAGTAGTGTTCTTTGACAAACATGGATGCCTCCAGTAAAGCACATTCACATGAAAAATACTCTGAATTAAAAACACTGATCATTTATTGAACAGGATGGAATCATTTCAGATTTTAAGAAGTTTTCTTTTTAAGATTTTAAGATAAAAGAGTGTTTATTGGAAAATCGGAGAACAAAACTGCAAAAACGATCCAGAAATATATATAAGGAAAAAAATCAGAAATTAAGTTTATTTACCATTAATTTGAGTAGGTAAATAAGATGGTTTGCCAATGGATTTAGATTTTTTACTCTTAAAATAAGATAATTAGATAATATGTACTGTAAATAAGTCAATGCAATTGTTTTTTGTTTATTTTAAATGTAAATGGTCTTATTCCACTGGCAAAGTGCCTCACTTTCCTCCTCAATTAAAGAAAAAAAATGACTTATTTAAATGTCGATTTTTTGCAGTGTTGTAGTAAAGAAAGAGAACTGTCATAAGTTGTTGGTGATTATTCAGACTGATTCAACAGTCCATAGAAATTAGAGCAGAATTAACTCTGGTTTTATTTCTCTGTCCTGAAGGTTCTAGTACCGTCTGTGAATTCAGAAAAAGAGCCCCCCACAATGGCGCTGCCCCCATCCCACCCCTCACGGCTGAAGTACGTATCCCTGGGGGTCCTGGTGCTACAGACCACAACATTGGTGCTCACCATGCGTTACTCCCGTACGCTGAAGGAGGATGGTCCGCGCTACCTGGCCTCCTCTGCTGTGGTGTCGGCTGAGATGCTGAAAATCTTGACCTGCTTCCTGCTCGTCTTCGTGGAAAACAGTAAGCGGGTTCTTTCTCCTACGGGTCATCCACAGGTGTGGATCTGACCTCTGCAACAACACACAAGCCCTCCTCTGTTCCTGGTCTGTCTGGCCCAGAGGGCCTCCGCTCCTGGAGCCAACAACTATCTCATTGTTTCTGTCAGATTACAGTTTGCGGGCCATGAATCTGCTGCTGAAGGAGGAGATTGTGAACAAGCCTGTGGAGACCATGAAGCTGGCCGTGCCTGCAGGGATCTACACGCTGCAGAACAATCTGCTCTATGTTGCCCTGTCCAACCTGGATGCAGCCACCTATCAGGTTACATGTTTTCTTGAAACCTGCCCTTAGCTGAAGTACTTTCCAATCTTAGTTTAGTGGCCAGTGTGCAGATTTATGCATTGACACTCTGAGAAGTATGTAGTGCTGTATGATTGAGATGTGCAGCTTTCGGTTCAGGGTCTCAGATGGGCAGGGGAGGAATGGAACAACAACTGAAAGGAAAAGATATTCAATTCAATTCAATTCAGTTTATTTATATAGCGCCAAATTCACAACACATGTCATCTCAAGGCACTTTACAGTTCAACCAGATCATACAGTCAAATTGATACAAAGTTTTCTATCTAAGGAAAACCAGTTGATTGCATCGACTCATTGACTCTTCAGCAATCCCTCACACTAAGCATGCTTGTAGCGACAGTGGAGAGGAAAAACTCCCTTTTAACAGGAAGAAACCTCCAGCAGAACCAGGCTCAGTGTGAGCGGCCATCTGCTGAGGCCCACTGGGGTTCAAGGAGACAGAAGCAGACATAGAAAAAGAAGCATAGATACAAAAGGCAGCTGTAAAAGGCGGCCCCATCCAGGAAACACACAGCCAGGCAGACGAGCTCCAAGGCAGCTCCCATGCCAGAGGACGAAGAGAGCACATCCAGTTAGTCACAGTCAGAGAAACAGGACCACACCTGAAGACAGGCCGATCTCCAACATCTACAAACAAGGGTGTTGATGGAAGCAGCACAGCTGATGTTTCTTTCCAGGATGACGTCACAGCCAAACAGGAACAGACGAGGCAAAGCTACTCTGAGGAAAAGCAGAGAGAGCAGAACGTTAGAGATTGAACTAACAGATTCTGCAGAATAGGAGAACAGAGAGAGAATGAAGCAGAATGATGAAATGGGGGTCCCTATGTCCTCCAGCAGTCTAAGCCTATAGCAGCAGAACTATAGAGATAGCTCAGGATAACCTGAGCCACCCTAACTAGAAGCTTTATCAAAAATGAAAGTTTTAAGCCTAGCCTTAAAAGTAGACAGGGTGTCTGCCTCACGGACTAAAACTGGTAGTTGGTTCCACAGGAGAGGAGCCTGAGAACTAAAAGATCTGCCTCCCATTCTACTTTTAGAAATTCTAGGAACCACTAGTAAACCTGCAGATTGAGAGCGAAGTGCTCTGTTAGGAACATAAGGAACAATCAGATCTCTGATATCAGATGGAGCTTGGCCATTTAAGGCTTTATATGTGAGAAGGAGGATTTTAAATTCTATTCTGGATTTAACAGGAAGCCAATGAAGAGAAGCCAGGATAGGAGAGATATGATCTCTCTTTTTCATTTTCATTAGAACTCTGGCTGCAGCATTTTGGATCAGCTGAAGGCTTTTAACTACAGTTTGTGGACTTCCTGATAGTAAAGAATTACAATAGTCCAGCCTTGAAGTAACAAATGCATGGACTAGTTTCTCAGCATCACCCCTGGACAGGAGATTTCTAATTTTTGCAATGTTCCTCAGATGAAAGAAGGAAATTCTAGAAACCTCTTTGATCTGGGATTTAAATGACAGGTCCTGATCAAAAATAACACCAAGATTTTTTACTTTATTATCTGAAATCAGTTTAATCCCATCCAAATGAAGTGACTGACTAATCAGCTTCTTTTTCAGAGGACTCTGGTCCAAAGACTATAACTTCTGTTTTGTCTGCATTCAGAAGCAGAAAGTTAAGAGTCATCCAGGTTTTTATGTCTTCAGACATGCCTGTAATCTATGTAATGGGTTAGCTTCATCTGGATTTATAGACAGATATAGCTGGGTATCATCAGCGTAACAGTGGAAATTAATCCCATGCTGTCTAATAATTCTACCGATTGGGAGCATGTATAAAGTAAAGAGAATTGGTCCTAGCACTGATCCCTGTGGTACTCCACAGGTAACCTTTGAGCGTGTTGAAGATCTATCATTAACATGAACAAACTGAATTCGATCAGATAGATAAGATTTAAACCAGTCTAGTGCTGTTCCTTTAATTCCAACAAAATATTCAAGTCTTTCTAAAAGAATATTCTGATCAACTGGATCAAATGCAGCACTGAGATCCAACAGGACGAGCACAGATACAAGTCCATTATCTGAGGCCATGAGAATATCATTAGTGACTTTCACCAGAGCTGTTTCAGTGCTATGATGAGCTCTAAAGCCAGACTGAAACTCTTCAAAAAGTTCATTATGGTGGAAGTGATCGCAAACTTGTTTGGCAACTACTTTCTCAAGAATTTTGGATAAGAAAGGAAGATTGGATATAGGTCTATAGTTAACCAAGTCATCTGGGTCAAGAGACGGTTTCTTAAGCAGAGGTTTAATTACAGCAACCTTAAAAGCTTTAGGTACATATCCCTGTAACAGAGATAGATTAATCACATCTAAAATGGAGGAGGAGATCAAAGGGAATACCTCCTTAAATAACCTGGTTGGAACTGGATCTAACATACAAGTTGAAGGCCTAGATGAAGACAATAATTTTGCTAATTCAGAAAGTTCAACTGGATCAAAGCAGTCTAAACCCGGTTCAGATTCCATGACTACCTCAGGTACAATCGCGGATAGAGGAGTGCTTATGATCTTATTTTTAATAAGATCAATCTTATTTATAAAGAATCCCATAAAATCATTGCTGTTAAGAGCAGGTGGAATGGACGGTTCAACAGAGCTATGGCTCTGGGTGAGTTTGGCAACTGTATTAAAAAGAAATCTAGGATTATTCTTATTCTCCTCTATTAATGAGGAGAAGTATGCTGCTCTTGCTTTACAAAGAGTCCTCTTATACAGCAGTAAACCATTTTTCCAGACTAGGAAGGACTCTCGCAGGCCTGTGGAGCGATATTTTCTCTCCAGTTTCCTAGCATTTTTCTTCAAAGTACGCAGCTCTGCATTAAACCAAGGAGCAAGCTTTCTATTTTTAACGGTTTTCATTTTCAAAGGAGCTGCGTTGTCTAAGGCAGTACGCAGAGAACTAGCAACCCCATCAACAAAATCATCAACCTGTGAAGGGGAATAAGCTATACTTTTGCACTCTGCAGCACTGCTCAGCGACACAGAGGAGAGAGAAAGTGAAGCCGATTCTAACAGGTTTTATCTCTGCCACCAAATTATCCAGCTTCTAAGTCAATCTTTAATGATGAGCAAAGCTGTTTCGTTCATCATCAGCTTAAATGACGTATTTCTAGTTTTATTTTACATGTAATAGTAAAATAAGAAAAGTCAAAATTATTTCTCAAAATATTCATAGGAAATTTATGAATTGGACAAAGTATTTTTTATTTTTTTTTCCCCCTCTCGCTACTAGCATTCCCACTTCCCGCGGCCATGGCTATATACGATATAAATCATTTAATATACTGTAGTACATAGCTGCAACTGGGGGGAGTGGCGGCCTAGAGGTCAGGGTCTAGAACATGGAATCCTGAGGTTCTGAGTTTGAGCCCCACTTCCACAGACTTCCACTCTTAGACATGTTTTTATTTTGTGTATCATTCTGTTAATAAAATTATTTGTTGATATAAAGTGAGAATTTAACACCTGAAGAGCTATTAGCCCGAAGATGCTTTGCTAATGTTACCGGTCAAAACCAGAGCTGTGTAGGTAAGAGAGTTCTGACAACTCCATTGACAACAATAGGGAACATTTCAAAGAGCAGAATATTAAAGGAATAGTACACCCAAAACATGATAAGCCTTCATTTTCTACTCACCCCCATGCTGAACAACACTCTGGAGTACTTTTTTGATATCTCAAATGCATCTGGAGATCTGGGAGGCTTCTTGCTGTCTGCTGACATTCAAATAATGGAGGTCTATGGCGCCCGAGACAGAAAGCGCTTTCAGGAAATCCTATACACTACTGTTTATGCTCTAAAAACATTCTAAATGACTTCGTTTCGAGTAAATTATGGACGCTACCCACTCAGGACACTTGGAATACATTGGACGAGCAGTATGGAGGAATATTGACACGTTTTTTGTGGACTTTTATGAACCTTTCTGCCTCGGGCGCCATAGACCTCCATTATTTGAATGTCAGCAGACAGCAAGAAGCCTCCCAGATCTCCAGATGCATTTGAGATATCAAAAAAGTACTCCAGAGTGTTGTTCAGCATGGGGGTGAGTAGAAAATGAAGGCTAATCATGTTTTGGGTGTACTATTCCTTTAAGGGAACTATAGCATTGAATTGTTGTATTAAACGTTGCATATTTCTGTCATGTTCTCACAACTAGTTTGGATCAAAGTAATTCTGCTGGGATCAAACCATTTTATTGAAAAGTTGAAAAAAGCAAATCAATTATATCTAGACTCTTCTGGGATCCATGCAGGTCACTTACCAGCTGAAGATCCTCACCACAGCGCTGTTCTCCGTCTCCATGCTGGGAAAGAAGTTGGGTCTCTACCAGTGGCTCTCCCTCCTGCTCCTCATGGCTGGAGTCACTCTGGTGCAGGTAAACCGGGTTCACTGGATTCTCTTTATTCATATGGATAAAGACCAACAACCCTCTCATTTCAAAGCCTGTTGTTCAGCTCTTCAACATATGTGGTAAGAACTATAGATTAATGGTGGGATAACCATAGATTAAAGCACAGGCGTGTGTGTTTCGATTCATAAATGAAAGCCGTTCTACAAAATTCAAATTTGTATTTTTTTCTTCTCAAGACATGCATAGAGATTAAACCAGATGTTTCATCTGTGAGAATACTAGATTACCAATCCCCCCACTGAAGCTATTACCCTCCTGAACAGTTGGTGGCAGTCATGCACCTTAAAGTTGTTCAACAACCTGAATTATAAAGAGTGAAGGACAAGAAAATTAAAACAAAACTATTGATTGTATTTCATATCTTTGCTGAATTATCTTTTCTTATGCAGTGCAATTTCCAGTCATTAAATTTGTTTTTCGTCTTCTTCATTAATTTTAAAACTTTAAGATGCATTACTGCCACCAAATGGCAAGAAGTGTTACAGCTTGAAGACGGACATTTCTGCTTGTAACAGAAATGGAACCAAACTCGCTCCATATCTTGACCCATAAAATAGACGTATACTGAAAACTAATCAAACGCGGTGGCAGCTGGTCAATTGAGGGCGCTAGAGCTCCACCCTACCCACCAAATGACCCTGATTAAGACATAAAAAAAAAAAATACAGACTATGTGAGGAGTACTTTCTATGGGGGACAACAGGCAGCATATGGGCAGGTATAGCTTTACCAGTGTCAGAGTTCAGGAAATACATGAAGATATAGAAAGAAAAACTGAACCATCTGTCCTTTCTATGGGATAGAAAAAACAACTAGGTCAGCAGTACTTTCTCTGAATAGAGACTATAGAGAAACCCAACTACAGGTGCTGGTCATAAAATTAGAATATCATGAAAAAGTAGATTGATTTCAGTAATTCCATTTAAAAAGTGAAACTTGTATATTATATTCATACATTACATACAAACTCATATATTTCAGATGTTTATTTTGTTTAATTTTGATGATTACAAATGACAACAAATGAAAATCTCAAATTCATCATATCAGAAAATTAGAATATTACTGAAGACCAATAAAAACAAAGGATTTATAGAAATGTTGGCCAACTGAAAAGTATGAACATGAAAAGTATGAGCATGTACAGCACTCAGTATTTAGTTGGGCCTCCTTTGGCCTGTATTACTGCAGCAATGCGGCGTGGCATGGAGTCGATCAGTCTGTGGCACTGCTCAGGTGTTATGATAGCCCAGGTTGCTCTAATAGTGGCTTTTAGCTCTTCTGAATTGTTGGGTCTGGTGTATTGCATCTTCTTCTTCACAATACCCCATAGATTTTCTATGGGGTTAAGGTCAGGAGAGTTTGCTGGCCAATTAAGAACAGGGATACCATGGTCCTTCAACCAGGTACTGGTAGCTTTGGCACTGTGTGCAGGTGCCAAGTCCTGTTGGAAAATGAAATCTGCATCTCCAAAAAGTTGGTCAGCTGCAGGAAGCATGAAGTGCTCTAAAACTTCCTGGTATGTGGCTGCGTTGACCCTGGACCTCAGAAAACACAATGGACCAACACCAGCAGATGACATGGCACCCCAAACCATCACTGACTGTGGAAACTTTACACTGGACTTCAAGCAACGTGGATGAAGTGCCTCTCTTCTTTTCCTCCAGACTCTGGGACCTTGATTTCCAAAGGAAATGCAAAATTTACTTTCATCAGAGAACATGACTTTGGACCACTCACCAGCAGTCCAGTCCTGTTTCTCTTTAGCCCAGGCAAGACGCTTCTGACGCTGTCTGTGGTTCAAGAGTGGCTTGACACAAGGAATGCGACAGCAGAAACCCATGTCTTTCATACGTCTGTGTGTGGTGGTTCTTGAAGCACTCACTCCAGCTGCAGTCCACTCTTTGTGAATCTCCCCCACATTTTTGAATGGGTTTTGTTTCACAATCCTCTCCAGGGTGCGGTTATCTCTCTTGCTTGTACACTTTTTTCGACCACATCTTTTCCTTCCCTTCGCCTCTCTATTAATGTGCTTGGACACTGAGCTCTGTGAACAGCCAGCCTCTTTAGCGATGACCTTTTGTGTCTTGCCCTCCTTGTGCAAGGTGTCGATGGTCGTCTTTTGGACAACTGTCAAGTCAGCAGTCTTCCCCATGATTGTGTAGCCTATAGAACTAGACTGAAAGACCATTTAAAGGCTTTTGCAGGTGGTTTGAGTTAATTAGCTGATTAGAGTGTGGCACCAGGGGCCATCAATTTTGAACCTTTTCACAATATTCTAATTTTCTGATATGATGAATTTGAGATTTTCATTTGTTGTCATTTGTAATCATCAAAATTAAACAAAATAAACATCTGAAATATATGAGTTTGTATGTAATGTATGAATATAATATACAAGTTTCACTTTTTAAATGGAATTACTGAAATCAATCTACTTTTTCATGATATTCTAATTTTATGACCAGCACCTGTAAATAACAGTAGCTGTGAGGACCACGCATACAGAACACTGAAGACGTTTACTTTCTCTACAGCTGAACTATATCTGACATAAATTTTATTCAATTTCTATTCAGTGTATTTCTATAGCTCCAATTCACATCATGTCATCTCAGGTCACTTTCCAGTTCACCAGATCATCCAGTCAGATTGATTCAAAGTTTTCTATCTAACGAAAACCAGCTGATTGCATCGACTCATTGACTCTTCAGCAATCCCTCACACTAAGCATGCTTGTAGCAACAGTGGAGAGGAAAAACTCCCTTTGAACAGGAAGAAACCTCCAGCAGAACCAGGCTCAGTGTGAGCGGCCATCTGCTGAGGCCCACTGGGGTTCAAGGAGACAGAAGCAGACATAGACCTAATTTCCACTACCCTCTGAAAACCGGTCTGTGCCTAGTTTGGACTGAGCTTGGATCAGTTAACCGTGCCCAGCTCGGTTCCTTACGACTATTTACACACCACACTAACGCGATTACTCGCCCTCTAGTGGCGATCTACGGTACTACTGCTCCTTCGAGGTAAACAACCAACTTGGTGGCGCCCGTAACATTCAGGAAGTTATGTTTTGTTATTGTTGTGATATTTTGTTGTTTGCGGAGAGTCAGGCGAAGAAGGCAGGCTTTAGTGAATTTACTTGACAGTGTCTGCATTTGGGAAGTGGATACGACAAACAATAGTCTAATCAAGGCTTCCAGACGCAGGAAACAAAGACAGACGTTGAGGTTCATCCCACTGCTAAGCAGAATCATCACTGGAAATTATGCGGCACTAAAGCAAAGCTAGGATTTGTAGATACAGAGTGGGAGAATAGAGATAGAATGAAGCAGAGTGATGAAAAAGGGGTCCCTATGTCCTCCAGCAGTCTAAGCCTATAGCAGCACGAGTGTAGAAACAGTATTTTGGAGGAGGTATAAGAAAGGTAGAGCCATAGGTAGTAGGACTTAAACTGTCACACCACTTCAGCTAAAATGTTCATGTTGATCCTCTGCAGTGGCCCAGCGAGTCAGCGGGGGAGCAGAAGGTGCTGACTGCAGGCTCCCAGATGGTGGGAGTGATGGCCGTGCTAATGGCCTGCGTGTCCAGTGGTTTTGCCGGAGTTTACTTTGAGAAGATCCTAAAGGAGACCAAGCAGAGTGTCTGGGTCCGAAACATCCAGCTGGGTACGATTCTGAAACCTGCTGCTGAAGGTTTTATGGCTATTTGCAGTTAGTCCTTCATGGTAGTCATGTGCTTCAACTTCCTGAAGGCTGTTCTTTATTTATCCGCTGTTGAACAGCCGCTCCTCCTCCTTTATTCACCACCTGTATTCAGCGCCGGCGTTTCTGAGCCGCAGAAACAGGTTTTTCATGTTCTTCACTCTGTTCTCCTTTCTACCCGTCATCTATTGTCTCTTTCAGATGATTATTGGTTGAGTTTCTTCCTTTAGGGAACCATCTGGGTCTGAACAGGTGCCACTGAAAAGATTAGGCATTATAAAATAAAACATCTAAAAGCAAACATTGCTGCGGAAAGAGTAACAACTTCTATTGTTGCCTCTCTCCTTTTTCAGCGAGGTTGCTTTCAGGGTCACTGCAGAGTTTCTTCAGTTATTATGTCTCGACAGGCTGGTGCTGTTTTGGCGTCGGGGGCGGGGCTAAACTGAAGGCTCCTCCAGTTCACCCATAAGTCAAGGTATTAAATATCTTACTGTTATCCTCATTCGCTGTATAAACCAACAAGTAACCCAGTAAGTATAGTTCCAGTCAGGGGGGGAATTACCATTAGGCAATACTAGGCAGATGCCAAGGGCCCCGAATTCCTGGGGGGGCCATAAAACTCTGTTTACATTTATGGTTAATAAAACTATTCCTTATTTGAGTACATTAATTATGTTTTTGATGAAAAATGCTTAGAATATAGAGTGTGTCTCAGTCCCCCCCCCCCCCCCCCCCCCCCCCCTTCAGTGTCCACCATATTGGATCAGTCCATTTGCTGCACATGTTCAGAAAGGTCCAAACAGACAGCAGCAAACCATTTGAAAACAAACCATGCAAAGAGCAGTGTTGCCAACTTAGCGCTTTAGTCGCTATATTTAGCCACTTTTCAGACCCCTCTAGCACTTTGATTTCTAAAAAGCTCCTAGCGCCAAATCTAGCGACTTTTTTCTGCTACTGGAGACTTTGGAGACAACATCTAAAAGCAGCGAACTCTGCTCTCCAGAGCGAGTAGATTGGTAACCCCGCCTCCTGCTCTCCTCTATCTTGTCTGCTGTCATGATTCATGCAGCTATTATTTCATCCAAATGAAAAATGGAGAACAGATAAGCAGATCATGGCTTGTCTACAGTGAAAAGAAGGACTGGGTTATTTACTTTGGCCTTTTTGGAAACACAGGAAGGAGCAATCAGCTAAGTGAGCTTAGTGCTTGGAAAAAATCTTTCATTCCTTTAGAGACAGCATGAAAAGTCAGCTGAGTACAAAACATAGAGAGGAAAACAAGAAGAAAAGGGACAAGAAGAGAGGGACACAACCTAGAACAGATAATGGATGTCTATTCTATTAACATTTCTCTATCTGGAGAATGGGGCTGTTTTATGGGTTGTCTTCTCCATTCAGAGGGGCCCCTGCCTGTCTTTGCCCAGGGCCCCAAATTTCCTAAATCCATACCTTGTTCTAGTCAGTAGTTAAGCTAAATGGTATCTTATATATCTAGAGCTCACTTAATATTAACAATTTTCAAGATTAACATTTTGTTTAATATAGTTTTTCATGCACCCATCTCTCTAGCAGCTGGAAGGTAGTGATCTTGAAAGAAATCCTGTCACATGGAGCCAATATTTATAACTAAAATCCAGGATCACTTGTTGGGTTATAAAACTAATGAAGATAATAATTATAATGAAAATAATATCCTTAGCTTTGGTTGGGATTTGGTTGGGGTTCCTTTATTGAACCTATAAAAAATGCCGGTGAAGATTCTCAGTCATCCAGGTCATAGTCATTCCAAAAAAGTTAAAATCAATCCTCTGGACTTTGTTTCCGAGTTTGAAGGCGTTTCTCTTCCATCCAGGAAGATTTTTCAGTTCAAAATGTCAGAAATAGCGTTTAGTTCCAGGTTTTATCCAGCAGCCCAACAAAGCCTGGTTTTAGTTTAGAAAACATGCAAATAGAAACGGATGAACGGGTCCCCCCCTTTGGAATGGGGGTCGTTTGGCTTCTTTGTTAGCCTGCAATGCCCCATACCTGTCTATATCTCTGAAAGGGGGGTCGTTAAAGGGAATTGCTGGCCTGGCTGAATAGGTGAGGTCTTCTGTTCTCCTGTAAAGGGGTTGGAGCTGCGATGATAGCGGGAAGGAATCAACTCTATCGCTGCATTGAAGGTTTTTGAAAGCTGGAATCTGAGTTTTTTTTTCTTAACATAGATGGCTTCCTTCCTCTCAAACCACCTGTCTTCTTTGTCCAAAATGTGAACATTCTGGTCCTCCAAAGAATGTCCTTTGTCCATCAGGTGTAGATGTAGCGCAGAGTCTTGTCCAGAGGAGGGCGCTCTCCTGTGTTGGGCCATGCGTCTGTGGAGAGGTTGTTTGGTTTCTCCAGTATAAACATCAGAGCATTCCTCGCTGCATTGACCTGCAGCGGCTGAGCAGAGTGGTCTCTGTAGAATTGTCTCGTACGCGAGCAGAGATCTTTTTGGACTCAATTTACAAATTATATTTTCAATGTTAGAGTCCGGTTTGTAAAACTAATTTTCATGTGTACAACATTTAAGGACAGTTTGAAAGAAAAGTTTGATTTGTGTGTGACATTAGATGAGAGTTTCTAACACAAGTTTTATTTGTGAACAATAAGATTTGTTTGTGTGAAACATGCTTTATGTGTGTGCATAACATGCATTTTTGTACACAACGCTTTGGCAGAAAAATCACTCCATACGTTGGCCTCCTTCTCTGTGATTGGCCCCTACAAACACACGTCCTCTGCTGTCCCTTGTCTCTCTCCAGGTTTGTTCAGCTTTGTGCTTGGCTTTTTGGGGATGATGGTGTATGACGGCCGCAGCGTGAGACAGTCTGGGATGTTCCAGGGCTACAGCGCCATCACCTGCACAGTGGTTGTCCTGCAGGTCTGTTTCCTTCAATGCATCTAAGTTTTCTTTTCCATATGGAGGAAGCTGAAAAAGCAGGGTTCAGGAAAAGTAAAGAAAAAACAGAATTCTTAACTCATACATACATACATATATATATATATATATATAGGTATATAGATAAAGATATATAGATAGATATGTGTGTATATATGTATTTTTACCTGAGTCAAGTTAGACCCCCCACCTTCTTCAAATCAGACAAAATTAGTGTCAAACATTTATGCTACGTTAGTGCCGCTATCGTTTTAAAGATATAAAGAAATGTTTCTAGAGGTCATCAAAGGTCAACCAGCCCCCCCACCTTATTCAAATCAGACGAAATAGGTGTCAATTAACTCAGCTCCGTTTGTGCTGCAAAAATTTTCGTTTGTGCTGCTTTGGCTATGAAGATATTAATGACAATGTAAAGGTCAAAAGGTCAAACCCCCCTCCTTTATAAAGATATAAAGAGATGTTTCTAGAGGTCATCAATGTTAGGTTTCTGTTTCTGTTATGTTTTTTCTTTTGCTCCTTGATTTCTAGTGTTTAGTTTTCTTTTCACCATGTTTCAGTTTTCTAGTTATTTGATTATTATTTTGTTTTCTTATTAGTTCCTGTCTTCCAGTTTTCCATTTGTTGTCCTCTGCTGCCCTCTTGTGTCCTCTTTCCCTTGCTCTGTTTTCTGTTCTACTCTCACCTGTGTTCAATTCCCTCATCAGCCCTCTTCCTGTCTCTGTCCCCTTTATAAGCCCTCCCTCTTCAGTTCCTGTTTGCTGGATCGCCGTCTAACATTTGCCTGTCTTCCTCGTCTCTCCCTGGCTCCTAGAGTTTTGGTTTACTCCCTGATGTCTCCTTGGTTCTGGTTCGTTTTGTTATTTTGTGATTTTTGGATTTTTTGATGCTTGCCTCAGTTCCTGTTAACTTTATTAAACCCTCTTAAATTCACCTCAGCCAACTTGTTTCTGGATTTGGGTCCTCAACCAACTCCACCATTTCATGACAATCAAAGGTCAACCAGCCCCCCCACTTTCTTCAAATCTTCAAATCCAAAGCAGCACAAACAAAAATTTTTGCTGCAGAAACGTTTGAGACTAATTTTGTCTGATTTGAAGAAGGTTGGGGGGCCAACTTCACTCAGGTTGTATTTTTGTATGTATGTATATGTCCTCACACCCCCTTTTTGACTTTTTTTGTCTTGTTCCATTTATTACATATAGCAGAAACTAACTGAGAATAAAATACAACTATAATAGTTTTAAAACCTTTATTACAGTTTTTTCCTTCCTCTGTAATCACAGCTGTTAACCCTTTATTGGACCAGTTACTGTTTTTGATCACTTGCTTAGAGTTCCATCCCCGCCGTCCCTCAGTGAAATCTAGAAGAAGAAGATCTATATCCAGCCATTCAGTAATGATCCTGCTACATGGCTGTTAGGAGTGTGCAAAATAATCGTCATGATGATGCATCGTGATTCTAGTTTTCGTGATCTACTGCATCGATTCTTGATGCCAAGTATCGGTTATTAATTTAAAAAAAATTAATAAACAAAATTGCATGAATGCTTGGCGATCATCAGCCAAAAACAAGTGTAATACAACTTCCAGGCCAGTAGATGTCGCTGCGGATGTGTTGACGCACGCTGCCTTGTGTCACAAGCATTTCCGGCCGCGGGATACTGCGCCGTGTCATTCAAAAACAAAACATGGAGGAGAAAATATTTCAATGCATCGCAATAATTCAAGTATCGTGATGCGTCGTGATTCGAATTGAATCGTGACTTCTTTGGCAATACCCACCCCTAATGGCTGTACATCTTATTTTGGCATTTGGCCAATTAGATGAACCTTGAATGATAGATTATCTACTGGAAATTAAGTTGAAAAAAAAAACGTTAATTCAAGAAAAAAAAGGTAAAAAGCTAATTGAAAAGTTAAAAAGTTAATAAGCCTAGTTAATAATTATATTTAGGTTTATAAAGTAATGTCAGTTCCAGTATCAGCATTAATGCCTCTAAAGTTATATTGGACCAAAATAAAAAAATGTGTTTCTTTCACTCTCAGAGAGTTTTTCATTAATTTCTTATAAAAGCATTTGTCATGATTTTATTAAGTTCTGACCCCAAGATGCAGAAGACCAAACGGAGAGAGCAGGGAAAAGTTTAAACAGGTTTATTTTAGGAATAATGTGGTGAATCCCGTGCTGCTCTGAGTACTGCTCAACAGGGAACTGGAAGGTGAGGGGAAGACACTGCGGTTAGTTACGGCTCAGTGGGAAATTTGAATCTTAGGTTTAGAATTGGAGGAAAAGGTTGCAGACTCACTTCTCCAAGGAAAGGTGTCCTTTAAGGTATCCAGACTCTGAGGACTGAACCAGAGAATGTCTTGTTTGGTGATGGGTGGACTGGGTTACTCAGACTGCGGTTGTTCCCTGGTGAACGGAGAAGCTGACTGCCACTCAGATTTCCTGCGGTACTTGAACGGGCTGCGGTGCAGATAAAACCTTTGCTTGGTGTGAAGCTCAAATGACCTCTTGGGGAAAGTTGATCCAAACTTCCTGTTTGGAACCCCAGCTCAGTTAGAAGCTCAGTTGATCCTTCCTGAGAGAGAAGGACCGAACAAAATCCAGATTGCAGGATGACTTCCTGCTGAGAGGCAAAGACAAAAACAAAGTTAAAACTCGGTTTGACTCAGAAAAACTCAGCTTGGCTGGGAGAATCCAAAACTGGCAAACTAAAACTCCGGTTAGACTCTGCTAAACTAAGCATGGCTAGAGTGCCCTGTATTGGCAAACACACTGGCCACGAGGTAGTGGCAGTCAGCAGCTTAAGAACACTCCAGAGGTAATGAGGCAATGAGCTGCAGGTGTGCAGGGAGAACCAATGAGGACGGGACACCGCCTGGTGGAGGAGGAAAGGAAACACAAAAACCACACAAACTGGATTCCTGACAGCACTTTAGTCATTTTTCTTAATATATTCGGGCAAGTTGGCGTTTCTTGTTATTATTTTGACATTCATTTTTGCCATCTGAATATCCATACTTTATTAACGTTACGAAGATAATAATGTCTTGTCCTGGATTCCAGTCTGAAGCTTGACTGCATTCAGAACGTCCGTAAACATGTTTTCTAAACATGCCTCATTTTTCCCAGACTCCTGTGAATTCAGCAATTAGACTAAATTAAAGTTTGAGGTTATTCCCTCACTGGGCTGTGAAGGTTTTAGCAAAGTTAAATGCTTCATTTTACCCTTTGTTCCTGTTAGCTTGGTTATATTTGTTCATCCGTATTCCGTTCTGCATTTTAGTGCTGCACCAACATGTGATAAATAAGACAGAAAATTATATGGTGGAATAAAAAAGTTAAGTTATAATAGATGGAGTCACTTCTTTCCGCATCTTTAGGCCCAGTTTGTTCTTTCTCTTCTTAAATGATCCTGTGAAAGTAGATTTATGGGTGACTTTCCAGTCTGATGGTTGTGTGTTCAGGCTGTGGGCGGGCTGGTCATCGCCGTGGTGATTAAATACGCAGACAACATCCTGAAAGGATTTGCCACCTCAGCGTCAATCATGGTGTCCACCCTCATCTCCTATTTCCTCCTGAACGACTTCAAGCCTACAGGGTAAAGCAGAGGGAGCTGAGTGTCGTCATTGTTTGCTCGCTGGATTCATACCAACCTGTTCTGCTCCTCCCTCAGGGTATTTTTCATGGGAGCGGTGCTGGTGATGGCCGCCACATTTATCTACAGCTACGAGGGTAAACCTGCCAGCAGCACCATCAAGGTGTAGCCAGAGACCTGATGGATGGGATGGCAGACAAGCCAACAGCCACACGCTGCCCCCTACCTCCTGCCTGGATGGACCGTGGACTGTAACCACAGCCAGGAGCCCAGGACTGAATGCAGGAGAGGAAGCAAAAGCAACTGGTTACACTGGAATCTGTTTGGAGAGGGTAGAGCGTTGGTCATTCACAGAAAATATAAGATAACACGCAGGGAGCGCATTTGTCCAGCAGGGTTACACAGTTCCTGACTGCTGAAAGGGAAAAGCATTATATACGTAGACGCCTCATCAGACGCTGGCCGACGTGCATAGGGGGCGGCCATCTTGGATCGGACCACAGTTCATACAGCTGCTGTCAGAATGAATATCATTTTAATCACGTGAAAGACGAGTCAGAGATAATATCACAATAATCCGTTTCATGTCACAAACACTTAAAATAATAAAACTTTTAAAATTAACTTTACGTTGAATTACACAGATTTATTTTTAGTTATAAGGTTTTATAAGTTCTCAGGCTCCTCTCCTGTGGAACCAACTGCCAGTTTTAGTCCGTGAGGCAGACACCCTGTCTACTTTTAAGGCTAGGCTTAAAACTTTCCTTTTTGATAAAGCTTCTAGTTAGAGTGGCTCAGGTTATCCTGAGCTATCTCTATAGTTCTGCTGCTATAGGCTTAGACTGCTGGAGGACATAGGGACCCCTTTTTCATCATTCTGCTTCATTCTATCTCTATTCTCCCACTCTGCAGAATCTGTTAGTTCAATCTCTAACGTTCTGCTCTCTCTGCTTTTTCTCAGTTGACAGTTGCCTTTTGTATCTATGCTTCTTTTTCTATGTCTGCTTCTGTCTCCTTGAACCCCAGTGGGCCTCAGCAGATGGCCGCTCACACTGAGCCTGGTTCTGCTGGAGGTTTCTTCCTGTTCAAAGGGAGTTTTTCCTCTCCACTGTCGCTACAAGCATGCTTAGTGTGAGGGATTGCTGAAGAGTCAATGAGTCGATGCAATCAGCTGGTTTTCCTTAGATAGAAAACTTTGAATCAATCTGACTGGATGATCTGGTGAACTGGAAAGTGACCTGAGATGACATGATGTGAATTGGAGCTATAGAAATAAACTGAATAGAATTTATTCAGGTTAAAAACTACTTAAACTGAAGTAAAACTGGATGAGATATTTACGTTATATATTTTGCAATAAAATATTAATATGATAAACACAATGGTTTATATAAATATATTATAAGACTATGTGTTACAAATGTTATATATTTATATAGTATATTATAATTATTATTCAGTGTTTTTAAGAATTTGTTGTTGATTGACAATTTGTTGTAATGTGATTTAGAAAAGAGAATAAAGTTATATTTTGTTTTTTATTAATTTCATGTTAATCTTTATATATTTTGTGTCATCAAGACTTTGTCATCAATACTTATGTTGTGTTTAACTAAAGGCTTTTTGTCCTTATAAGTTTGTCTAAACTTATTTCAAAACAATTTTTTAAACAGTTTTTTTAATCATTACTCATATTGTAAATCACATTAAAACAAATATTCCTCTATAGATCATGATACTCATATATATGATGCTCATTGAGCAATCCTTTAAAATACTGAATTATAATAATAATAGTATAGTATACAAATATATAATATTTGTAAGTTTAATTTTATAACATATTCATATAAAACTGTGAGGTTATCATATTAATATTTTATTTCAAAATGTATAACTTTTCTCATCCAGCTTGATTCCAGTTTAATACGTTTTTAATCTGAATAAATCTGTGTAATCTAATCTAAAGGTCATTTTAAGGTTTGTTTTGTTCTAATAAGGTGTTTTGACATGAAAGATATTATTGTAATATTATCTCCGACTCTGTCCTGTGATTAAAATGAGATCTAAGGCGCCTCCTGTTCATTCTGACAGCAGCCAAACTTTGGTCTGATCCAAGATGGCCGCCCTCTATGCACGTCGGCCTCACTGTTGTCCAATGAAGCGTCTACGTAATGTCTATGGCTGTAGGTACCAGATCTGCTGGGGTCCTGCTTCCTGACAGTGACGTTACACTACATGATTGGCTGAACGTTGCCACATGGTGTAAAACATTGTGGTTGCCAAGACAACGATAACATCAGGCAGCGTCCGTGTGCCGAGTCGGGAGCATCTGTAGCGTTAGCGTGTCAATGAACGATTGATAACAAAACTTTTTTAAAAATCTGTTTATGGTGAACAAAGTAACTGTTATGAGTTTATTCTCGTAATGTCACAACTTTATTTTCGTAATTTTATGACTTCTTTCTTGAAATAGAAGAAACAAAAATCTCTAGCCTGAACCTGATAGTATTCAGTAGCTAACAGGTTAGCCTCCTGTTACGTTGTTAAATAGCAGAGCTCAGTATGTCTTAGAACGCAGGACTTTCCTTCAAGACTCAGAATGATTGTTTTCTACCTTCGGCTACTTTACTTTACTTCGCCAACGAAACGTAAAATAATGGCAAACAATTGCAAATTATGTTCACACTCCAGAAGAGATCTGATTCTTAAAGCTGTAGTGGAGGATGTTCTTTTTCCGGGTGGATCATCTAAATCAGTGGTCCTCCTAACTGTCAATCATTCTGGTGATATGTTTACGTAAGGCCGTCCTGTGCGCTCGTCCCCATTTTCACTTACCGATGGTGAATCTGACATAGCGGAAATATTGCAAATCTTTTGGAAAGTTAGCCTGTAATGATGATGCAAACAATAACTTTTAAACAGAGCGTATGAGGAGAAATGCTCACACATGTGTTTAATAGGTGTTCCCTCTCTGGAGCAGCTACAGGGTTGTGGATGTGCAAAAATTTGCAAAGATCCTCCACTATAGTTTAAAGAAACGGGTGCAATACAAGTTGCCATATGATGATGTCATAAGAAGGGGCGGGGCCCCGAGCAGATCTGGTAGCTACTCCAGATGTGGTGACAATAACAGATAACAGCTCAATCTGCACCAAGGAGAACACATATGGAGTGAAATTTGATATAAAAAAAAGTACAATCTAGAATAAAACTTTAAAACATCTTGATTGAAAATTTATTTTTAAAGTAAGTTTGCTGCTTTCTCGGATTTTCTTTCTCTTATTATTTTTAATATTTGATTAAGAAAAATCTATTTTATTATTTAAAAGTAGTTTTTTTACAGATTCTTTTTTTCGTTTTTATTTTTTTATTATACCTTTTTTTTATTTTTGCAACAAAATTCAAAACTTCATGTTTACTTTTTCTTGAATTTCTGCTTGTTTAAAAGAAGTTTAAAACAAAGGCATTCCTCTATAAATTGCATTTTTTTTTTTTTTTATCCTATCCTTTCACTTCGAGCCAAATTAAAATATTTGCTCTGGACCAATAAGAATGTTACTAAAGTCTATGCTGACCAATAGAAATGCAGTCTTGCTCCGCATTCCAGAGGAAACCCCGCCCCAAGAAGTGAAGACGCCATGATCGGGTGAAATTTGAAAGGAATGTTACTAGTCAAACGGTCTGAAAAAAAAAATGGATATATGAACTGTAAAAAATATTTTTGAAATAATAAAATGTGAAAAAATAATTATCTAAACAAAAAAATTGTAAAAACTAAATAAAAATGTGAAAAATAAATCATAAAATATGAAAGTGAATCAAGAGTAAAGGGAAAAAAAGTCTGAGAAAAAAGCAAAGTTATTCTCAAAACCCTTTTTTTAATTAAAAAAACCTTTTTAAATTTGATGGATTGCATTTTTCTTTTCAAATTACAAAATGTCGTTTTTCAGATTTCCATTTTCAAAAAATTGCAATTTGCTTGTAAAAATTGAAAAAATAGCCCTGCATAAATTTCTTCCTTTCTTTCTGCTGGCTTTGTCCACCGTAGAATGGACGTAATTTTGTGGTGGAAAAGGGGAGACATGTCCCCTGCACTTTTTCCAAAGTTTATTTTGGTCCCCTGCATGTTATACTGTCCAAAAACAGTGTTGAGCTACAGTACACCGACATGCGTCGAGCACTAGTACCAAGTGGAAAACCGCAGCTCAAATTGATGCCGACTGCCCTGAGTTGAGCCCACCCACAAGCTCCTGATTGGCTCTCCGTCTTTCCTTGTGTGATTGGCTGTGACTCCTGGGAAGCTACAGAGGAAGAACCCTGCTGGACAAGAAGTGTTTGAGGCTCGGTGGATGGTCGTTTGGTGCATGGCGCGTGTTTTGAAGCTGCTTATGGAGAAATGTCTTGGGCCGTGAGTAGTGAGGAAACAGGAAGCGATTCTTGTGGGATGGAAGAGGGAAATAGTGACAATGAAGGTTGGAAAATAGCAACATCAAAAAATGAGAAAAAGCGGAAAAAACAGAGATCAGTTCAAGGGGAATCTAGTTCAGAACAATCCAGTGATGATCATTCCATACATTCCACAGCACAACAAAATGAATTCAAAGTCATATTCAAAGTCGTTAATCAGGCAGACTCTTTTACAAATTGGAATCCGGTTCACTTAACAAAAACCATCAATAAACTTGTCGGAGAAGTCAAAGGTGCCAGAATTCTGTACAGTGGAGACCTGCTAATTAACTGCAGAGACAGCGCCCAGCAAGGCAAAGCAATACGTATCAACAAAATTGACGGGATAAGAGTTCAGTGCAGCCTAATGGAGAACAAAAAGATCAGCAGGGGAGTCATTGGAGGAGTTCCTCTAAAAATTTCTGAAAAAGAGATTCTGGAAAACATAAGCGGTGCAAAAGTAAAAGAAGTAAAACGGTTAAAAACAACAAGAAACGGAGAAAGATCTGACAGTTTATCTGTGCTAATTAAATTCGAAGAAGAGCAATTACCAAGCAAAGTATTCATCGGTTACATAAGCTATAATGTCAAAATCTACAATCCTCCACCATTGAGATGTTTCAAATGCCAAAAATTCGGTCACGTTGCAGCAGTTTGTAAAGGGAAACAGAGGTGTGGAAGGTGTGCAGGAGAACATGAGTACGGAAAATGTGGAAAAGAAGCTAAAATAAAATGCTGTAATTGTGGTGGAGAACATACTGCTGCCTATCGCGGCTGTGAAGCAAGCAAAAGGTCTGAGGAAATTAAAAAAATGAAATTTGAGCTCGGAATAACCTACGCTGAAGCTGCAAAAAGAATCCCATCTCAGTCAGAAAAACCCAAACCTACAGTTCAACACACAGCAAATTCCAAACCTCTAGAGAAATCTCCAAAAATTAATGAAGACTCACTTATTGTTAAAAAGACAAATTTTGTTCTTTTCATGGTAGAAGTAATTAATTGTACTGCACAGACAACAAAAAAAACGGAAAAAATCAAAATAATAGTGAAGGCTGCAGAAAAATATCTGGACATTAAAGATTTGAACTGGGAGATGGTTGGAAGTATGATGGGAGGACCGATGGGACCATCAGAAACTGGCAGAGTTAAGATGACCTAGAGTAAATTAAAATT